GGGTCACGGTGGGGTGCTGGAGCCTATCCCAGCTGTCATTGGACGGAAGGGCAGACAGACCTCATATTGTAAATGCCTACATGGACACTGCTGGTGCCCCTTTTATTTCTGACTGGTTTGTGACTTGTGGTGATGTAAAGGCTGAGCTAAACACTCTGGAATGTGAGAAGGTGATCAAACGTGACTTAAAATATGTTCACAAGAAACATAAGCTCTCCATCACGCTGGGCTGCTTGAGGATTTCCCTGAAGCATTTTTGGAAAGGTGCAGAAAGAAGAAAGAGATAGCTGTGCCGTTTATTCACTAATCCATCAATCAAACACTGTCAGACATGAAAGACTAAAACAAAAACCCCTTAAATGGGAGTTCCATGTTATAGATTATCGTACTGCTACTATACATTTACTGTCAACTTTGTTCAGTTCCTGATGAGACCAAGAAAAACAGAAAATGCCTTAAAATGCATAAAAATAATATACAGAATAATGCATTTTAAGGTAATGTAGATGATTAATAAACTCTTATTTAGATTATCAGTAACACATCAACGACATATCAGTGAACTAACAGTAGTGAAGTATCTGAATACATTGAGATAAATATCTTGTATACTGCTGATACATTACTTACATTAAGTAGATGTATTGTTAATATCTTACTTTCATTGCACAAAACCTAACCTTACCCAACCTTATCCAAAACCGAACCTTAACCCTGACCCTAATCCTAACCCTAACCTTAACCTCAACCCAAAACCTAATCCTAACCCTCACTTTGGCCTTAATCCTAACCCTAACCTTTACCTCAGCCCGAACCTAATCCTAACCCTTATGTTTTTAAAATGTTACTGAAAGTCTGTTGAATGTTTGTTTTATCTAAAAGGGCACTCAAAATAAAGTGTCACCCATTTTATACATACAAAATATCTTCACAAGACAATATGAGATCAGTAATTTACAAATCTTCCATGTCAATCAGACAAAAAAATTCTAAAGGTAAAATAGATGATATGAATGTTTAAAAAAACAGCAACAGGCAGCACACAAGCAATGTGTTGACACAGTTTATCACACAAATCAAGCAGAACACCAATCACATACAAGTATAAGCATTCCTATTATCAGTACGGTAGTGGTGATAGTACCCAGGCGTCTAAGGAGTGTAATGACTCCAACAGCTCTCTCACGGCAAGTTATTAGATGAAATGGTTATGAATAATATTTTGCGATAGTTTTGAGAATGTTTTGGCTTAAAATCCATTCATGGTGGAGGGATACATGCAGTATGTTGTGAGGCAAAATAGTCTCCAAAAAAGTTATTCTTTCAAATTTACCACTATTTTACAATCATCAACATTCTGTATAAAACTCAGAAGACAGGTGTGGGGTCAGTGGTGGTTTTGGATAGTAAATAAAATGTCTATATTTGTGTCATAGTCATGGTGACCCCTGGTTCCTATCACCACCGCTGTAAAGAGTCAGTAAGTTTCTCTATGAACCATTTTACATTAATTTTACATCACTTTGACTTTGTTTACATCTCAACCACTGAATTATGCACAAAATTAGAAAAATCAGTGGAAATAAATAAGATGCATAATATATAATAAAAGATGTTTTATCTACATAAATGTTAAACAACTGTACTAATGCACTCACACTGAAGGTAAGAGCGGAATTAATTACCCCTAAATTCTGAACAAATAAGTGTTTTCAATTTTCTATTCCTGTAAGTATGTATGAAGGCCTATGCACAGTTCAGTGTTTTACCATATTATGACCTTGTATTTGTTCATTTAGGCTACATTCACATTACATGTTAAAGCCTGTAAATGGTGGAAAAGCAACACATCTCACCTTTTTGCCATCGTTTCGTGCTAGTAATGAACAGCTAAGAGCTAAGAGCTGTTCAGAGTTAATTATCTTTGCAGCGAAGGCTCATTCTGCTCGTTAGTTTGTTTGCTGATGATGCACATGACGCACATGATTCATTCATGTGACGTTACTGAGTAGGATGTGCGCATGCGGGTCATTTCAGGGCGGCAGTTTGATCACATCAATGACAGATTTGAATCACTTACCTAAACGAGTATGAACCATCATGTCAGAGACATCGGATTTGAGCAAAAAATCAGATTTGAGCAAAGAGGCTTGTAATGTGAACGTAGCCTTAGAGAACAGCAGAAGTGTGGAGTCACATGTCAAATTATAAATTTGATGACTTCAAACTTGACTCAAGACCTTGCTGCTTGACTGACTTGAACTCCAAAGACTCGGATTTTGACTTTGACTTGAGCGTTTATGGCTCAAAAAGACCCAAAACCCAAAGTAACATACAGTATTTTTTGCCAAAATGGTATATTTTAATGCATTAAAAATAACAGAACTGACCTTCATTTTATATTCTTTGGCAGCATGAGCAGTACTGTGGAATGCTAGCAAGCTAAGCTTCCTTAGTCAGCTATATTCATCCTTAATAATACTGTGGGGTTTTGTTGGTTTCAAGGTTCAGTAGGGCACAGAGGTCAAAATAATCTTCATCTAAAAAAAGGTAACACTTCACAATACTGTTTCATAGTTAATAAGTAACTAATCAGGAACTAAGCAGGAATGAATGAGCAGTGCTGCATTAACGCTTAAGTAACTACTATTAACTTCCAGGGACTACTAGTTAACTACTCAGTAGATAGTAGGGTGGTTCATTATTAACTAAACAATAACTACTGAGTCTCATAGAGAATTACTTAGTAACTATGATTTTTTAGAAAAGCTCCTCATAAATTACCAATTAATTAAACATTAATCGCTCAATAGCTGAATCTTACAAGGTTTCTGGTGAACTAATTGATGTAGAGTATTCCAACACTTCTAGCAGTAGTGAAATACACTACACTGTGTGCAGTCTCTGCAATATAATGGATTATACCCTCCATTTCTATTCACAGAAACAGGTATCCTCAGAGAAGTACACTACACTGTACTGACTGGTGTCCCTCATGTGCTTGTTTTGATCAGAAACCTGAAAAGTCTAATGTACCTCTTCAAATTTGGCAGTGTGAACCAATTTGCACATCAGCCTAAAAATGTGACAACTGCTAAAATACTACAGTATTCAGTAGACCAGTCTGCTTACCTCTCATCTGTAGAAAAGGAAACGCCATTCATTTTCTGCAGAAGCGCATGTGCCAGTGTTGTTTCTTCTGAACAGTAGTTCTCCTTGAGACTCCTCTTGACTAGTAGTTCTCCTTGACTAGTCCTCTTGAGGACAGGGTCAGTTGAATAGAGGGCTCATGGAAATATCTGACTGTGTATGTACCCTGCCTTCAAATTTACTTGCTTCCAAATATTACTTAGTGATGATGTAAGTACTGTCTGTTAGATAATAAATGAGGTGTTGCTGTTCTTCATTTGGACCCAATGATGATCAGGAACAATATAAAGTGAAACACATGGTAACTCATTTCTAATGAACTAGGAGTTAATGATGATCAGGAACAGTATAAAGAGAAACACATGGTAACTCAGTACTAATGAACTTGGGGTTACTGATGATCAGGAACAGTATTATAAAGTGAAACATGTTAGAAATAAAAATCCCTAAAGAACTGATGTACTGTAGTACAAAAAATGTAATGAGTGAATAAGTTGTTTATTGAGTGCAGATGTGAAAACATTCCTGAGTCAGCTAGCTATATCATTAATACCCCAAACAAAATGAATTCAAAATTTGTCATTACTACTGAAGGAGAAAGTCTGAGAGCTGAGACTGATCACAGTATGTTCTGCTACTACATTAATTACTCATCTTTCGATTTCATATCTGAGGCACAAAGTTTCACTGCTTATTAGCTCACATTAGCTAAATTAACTAGATGGTTAGAATGCACTCATAACAGAACATAAGCAGCAGCTTTAGGTTTAATAAAGCTTGGATGCTGCTTCCTTTGAAGCTGTGGTTACAAGACATAATGGCTGTCATGGAAAATTTGATCAGGTCTGGTCCCACTTCTGAAACTACATAAATACAGAATTAGCATTTCTGTATGCATGTCTGTTTGGGGAAAGGGGCGTAGATGTGTGAACCTAGTAAAATTAACCCATTAAACTGTAGGGGTTTTATTATGGCTGTCACTATTGATTACTTTAGTAATTGAGAATTCTAGCGATTATTTCAAAAATTATTTTTAGCAACACCCTAGCAACCACTTGGTAAACCATAGCATCAGCTTAGCAACAAAAATAGAAAAAACTTGTTTTGAAACCAACATACTTCTTTTGAATATGATTTTTTTTTCTCCTCGGCCAACCACAAATATTCCACTATGACAGCCAAAATCAAACAAATTTGGGAAACCCTGCTTTAGGTGCTGTGGAAGTTGTTTGGGAGTTATTTAGTCAATCCATCTTTGATGAACATGATGAACGTTTTTATAATTCACAGTTTTTATTTTTTTTATAAAAGGTCTTACAAATGTGTAGTACAAAAATAATAAAAAACACACTACAGTCCCCAATCAGTTTCACACGTTCCTGTCCTAACACATAGGATCATGAAAAAAAAAACATATAAACAACTTAGTATACAGAATAATACATAAGTAAATAATAATACTAAAAACACAGGGTTTGACGGCTTAATCAATGTAGACTAATTCTCCATATTCACAGAGCAGCAGGTTTTGTCTGATTGAAAACAGACAAATAGATCAGTTTGTTTCAGTGTTTGTAATGAGCATTTTTTCAGAAGTATACAAAATAATACAGAATACAGTTTTTTTACATAACATACAGATTTCCTTTCTAAATACAAAATAAAAAATGACACATTATTATTTTTTCTTTCAAATATGTGTATAAAAAAAAGGTTGCCTGGGTGTGACAAACTCACATTAAACAAAAGCCAGAAACTTTTTAAAATTGAGCAGGATTACAGTAAGATTAAAATGACATAGCAAAGACATAGCAAACATAAAGAAGTTGATTAAATAAACAAAAATAAAGTAAAAAATCCATAAAATAAACAAGTGGTAGCTTGATAATTGGAGCTCAGTCTGAACACATTTGTCTGATTGTCCATAATTCTCCAAGTAGATGTCACCACACAATGGAAAAGAAGGTTTTTGATTGCTGCTACTTGCTGGGGTCTCCTAGCACATGTATCTATAATAAAAACTTCGAATAGCAAAGTGATGGATTTGAAAGAGTCTTTCAACCATTAGTCTTAGTCTAGGTCTCACTACCATACACTGGGAAAATGTCAGCAGGAGAAGAAAGAAAATAAAGAAGTGATTATAATGGCAGCTACAGACTTTTATATTCACATGTGCATATTTTTTTTTCTAGATTTTATATGATCATGTGTGATGCAAACATCTGAGTTTGTAGAAAATACAACCCACTAGAAACTTGCTTATCCTGTTGTAAATTTATCACTGCCATGATGTGTAAGAATTTTTTTAAAGAATTTTTTTGAAGAATGTTCACCAGATAAACAAATTATATAGAGTTATAGACTCCTCCTTGATCTCCAACTTCTTTGTCTACAATGTCTAAATGAGGCAACACTGACTTCTGACACATGCAGGCTGCTAGTATCCCAATTGGATGTTCCTGACTCTGCAATGCTGAATTGGCTCTGTGATATGCTGGGTATTGATACTGTTTCCCTTAAGCTCCTACAAACCACTCCGGAGTCTGAGTCATCTGTTTGTGGATCAACTGGTGGTTTTACTGCCTTCTTTGTTTCAGACTTTTCTGAGAGAATCTTAAACCATTTTGGGGCAAAGTGGCAGAAGATGACTCCATAGTTTGAGACCATAATGCCAGAGATCTGGACGATGGGGCGTGATTCATATTGAGTGATAAAGATTGGAATAAAGCAAAGCCAGGCAAACAGATGGATGAGCATACTGAAGACTATAGGATCAGTCTTGTCATTATCTTTCCCCTTGAAGGCCAGTCCAAAACTTAGCACAGCTAGTAAAGCAATGTAGACATGCATCGCACCAAAGCCATACATAGAGCCCTGAGTGCACAGACGGTTCATGGTAAGTAACTGAGTTTTTGATTGTGTCTCCTCAACATTAACAGGATCAAATATCATCCAGAAGATACAGATGAGAGCTTGAATAGCAGTGAGGATTCCTATGATGACAAAGGGCTTATCAAACTTTCTTAGTTTGCGCTGCTTTGCAGGATTAGAGGACATTAACTCTAAGAATATGTGAAGGGCCTTAACCAGAATGCAGGACACACAGAGAGTGAACCCAAGACCATACACGATCTGTTGAGCTCTGCAAATATGGATGTTTGGGCTGCCTAAGAAAAGTATTACACCTCCAAAACTCACCATCAGGCCAAATTTCATCAGACATGAAGTGACTAAGATGTCCTTTATGATGTGTTTTTCTCTGTGTAGAATGAAAAAGATAAATGAGAACACCAGCAGTAGTGCACCTATTACTGTTCCAATCATCACTACAATGGAATAAGCTGAAGACCACTCCAAAAACCAAATATTCCATTTTTGACACTCCTTCGACCCTGGAAGAGACCAAAAACCTTCTGGACATGGGTGACAAGAAGGTTGATCTGTGAACACAAAAAGAGAAGCATGAAGTTCAAATGAAGAACGTAGACAGAGCAGAAAGAGTTTTCCCTTTAATTTTGAACATTAGATCAGTTATACTGTATCATGTGAGATACCACATGAGTAGACAAACTTTTTTTGGCCCAAGGACCACATACAACTTTAAATCTCTGTGGTAGGCCACTTCATAATAATCTTAGAGGAAAACACTTGGAGAACACTGAAAATCGTTTTTGCCAAGTGATCAAGGTCAGGTTGAAAGCAATGACTAGGTATCAAATTTTCTGTCACTGGTATTTTGAATTCAAAACGAAAATGAAGATTTTTTACATAAATGACTCTTAAAATGCAATCTGATCTTCATCTAAGGCATTCGTCACCAAACCTGTTTATCTAATCTAATTACTGCCTTCAGTAATCCTTGATTAGCTGAATGAGATGTTAGCACATTCCAGCTATTTTGGTTGGAAGGTAGATCTCCAGGTGGAGGGTTGGTGACCACTGATCTAATGAATAAAATTATTATTATTTTTTTTATTTAACAAAGAACACAATATATTACTTATATCTCTTTTTACACAAACCTTTGTTACAGATGTTTTTGAATTCCTGGAGTTCCTAGAGGGCTGTTGTTCAGCACAGTTTGGTAATTTCCCTGCTCAAACACATCTAGTAGATCTGGCAGTTAGCAGATACATTGAATCAGCTGTGCTTAAGCAAGTAAATCACCAAATTGTGCTGGACACTTGTCTTTCAGTACCAGAAATAAAGAACCCTGCTGTAGAAAAATAGTCCCTTAAAAATATCTAATTGTTCTCAAAAATGCTGAGCCTTAGGTGACTGAGAGCATCTGTGCAGGACATGATCAGATTGTTATCAGGAATAGTCTGTCCACAACTACAGTAGTGATGTAGTAGGACTGCAGTGGATAAGTTCTGAGAGGTCAGAGGCATCTGAGAGGTCAGTAGTGTAAAATCATCACCACTGGTTTACAAAGATGTAGAAAAGTGTAATGTGGTCAGTTCAGTCATCCTTCGCCATATTCTCCACAAGCGGCTGAGAGCATCAAGAGAACGGTACAGTTCTGAATGACTGACCCCCACAGTGAGGTGGCCCAATGGCTCTGTTAGGAGGTGGGGGGGCGGAGGGGGCATTTTACTGGCATGTTTTATATCTACTTGTCCCTATAGAGGTAAGCATGGCTGCAAATCAATTTAAACTTATTCTGACTGATTACCTATACTATGCTTCGGGCTTTGCGGTCAGATCCCTCTCACTGCTACACTATGGCAGCATGTAGAGCCTGTGTAAAACTACAGCCTTTGGATACTCTTTGGTGCTAAGTGATCAATTTTGTCTATGAAACCTCTTAGATTCACCTTATTCTTGGTTACCATTGCTCAGAATCAGTAGGAAGAATGCTGTACTTCCAGTGGACCATGGACTCTATGTACAAATGTTGCAAATGTAACTTTTTAATACTCACCCGTCACATTAGAATAGTATCCCTCACTACACTTAGTACAGTTATAGCAACAGGAGATCCTAGATATCTTCTTCTCTGTGCCCAGGGGACATGGCTCTGAACATTTGGACAAGGGCACCTGAATAAAAAAAAGAGAGAAGTTTTCTTTGGTTAAATGTGTTAGGTGCTCTGCATTTACAATAATTACATACTAAGGGATAAAAATTGCAGCTATCTCCTGTGGTAATAAAAGCACTTTTTGAAATTTACATGAATTATTTATTTACTTGTAACTCTTTGAAAGAGGCATCCTTTAAATATTCAGTATGTACTACATAAATAGGGGATTGTTTTTAAGGTTTCAATTTTAAGAAAAGTTACTTTTGAGCATACAGTCACATTTTAAGGAAAGAAAATCCTTCAATTTTTGCTATTCTTTTTCAGAAAAAAAGAGTCAAATCTGTTGATACTAGCTTGACCTGTATATTGTTGGTCAATTATATCAGCTGGTGTTGACCACACACAGTTTTATCAGTATTGGCAAAATATTACTGATAAAGAATTACTTTTTTGCCATGCCCAGAACTTATGATCTCCTACAATAGGGTGAAATCTTAGGCTGAATTAAAAAAAGATAAATAAATAAAAATGAAACAAAGACCTTTTGGTTTTAAAGGTATTCTTTCAACTTGCTTACTTTGCTTTCTTTTACTGGCATCACCTGCAGTTTTTAATTGCAATACTTAATAAAAAAAACACAGATAATGTACAGTGAATGTTGAACCACTGGGGAACCTAGTAAGAATCACTCAAGTATATCCCAGTAATACACGCTGAATGGGGGAATATCAGTATAAAACGCAAGCAATATTATGCTGGGAACTAACAAAAATAAGAGAATGAGAGTTAATTAACAGAAATCAAATCCATGAAGTATTGGTAGCTACACCTCGACAAATGTTAATATCAGTTGGGCCCTAGTTGATTCGGAAGGTTAACTGAACCAACTAATTAACATAATCATAATTAATTATTTAGTTACATTTAAATTGTTATATAGTAGAGCAAAACCCACAGAGATTACTGCACAGCTAAAATTCTGTTCACAAGGGAACAAATATTATTCATTTTAACTCACTGTAGTATTGGTCCATGGGATTTTGTTGCTATAGACCTCAATTTCTCCATTCTTTATGAGGAATTTTCCCACCACCTCAGGTACTCTTTCATCACCACTCATTTTCCACCTAATGAAATCATAACCATTCTTAAAATCACCAAATTTGTCAAAGGAAAACATCTGGTTGTCCAAGGTGAAGTTCATCTCATGAAGAATCTCCACAAGCTAAAAATGCAAAAACATAAAATTATTTGTGGTTAGGTCATGTAAACAACTAAAAAAAGTTTGTTGAAGAGGTACAGTTGTGTGCAAAAGTTTGGATGCCCCTGGTAAAATGACACGTAATGTTGATTTTCTAAATGAAAATAACACATCCTCCACAGAGAACACACTTCTGCACATTTTAATGCATAATTTAGTTTATTGAAAAAAAAGATGGGAAAAAATGTGGCCTGTGCAAACGTTGGCACATTATATTTATGTTTTTGCAATGAGTTCTATTGCGGGGAAGATGACGGTCAGCTTCTGAGGGTGCTGGGACAACCATGGAAGCCAGCACTGGAGGAGTAGCTTGTGAAGATGGCACAGTCCTCCTTGGCATCTGCCAGCTCATCCCCCTAGAATGTCATAATTAATTGTGTTCTCTATTGAGGATGTTATTTTTACCTCAACAAAACATGTAAGTTGATCAGGAACGTTCAAACTTGGCATCTGACTGTATTTTCAACTGTCAGCTTTCTTTGCGGTCATTCACTGAGACCAGCTGTGATTTTTAATTGCAGAACACAGGCGACATGTAGAAAACATGTATTTAACAGAAAATTATACAGAAGCCTCATCAACTAAATATGGTTTACTCTTCCATATGCCAGCATTCAAATGCTTAAAGCACTGTTAATTTCTTCATTAGGCAACTTCATGATTAGTAAGCGATAAAATATACAAGCCAATAATGAATAAAGAATTAACTGACTGAGACTAAAATCCTTTTGCTTTGAGTGACTTTATACCTGAATTATGTTTATTTTATTAAAACAAAGGATTAAGGTAAAGCCATTTTGTCACTGCCAAAACAATCACAATGCCACTGAAACTGTACCAAATGTTTCAGTAGTGACAATTTTAGGAAGTGACAATTTTAGCTCATTTTGAGCTGAACTCCAAAACAAACACAGCTTTGAACAGCTGTACACACATAAAATCATATTTTTCATGAAAACACAAAAAGAGTTTTTCAGTGTGACAAATTTTAATGTTCCACACTTATTTTCAGACTTTGGCACACATTTATTTCAAAACAATGGGATCTAAGTGTTTACCATGTGGCCATGAGGGACAGGGATGCAGCCTTACTTCCTGCTCTAAAATGCAGTGGTGTGGCTAAAACAAGGCTCCACATACAGACTAAAATTATGGATTTTTTGAATAAACATTTTTTGAATAAAGTTTTTTATTTACATATTAAGCTCTTAATGGATCTAAATATTTCTTGTTTAATATTCATAATACACAAAAATTAAATTCAATTAAACATTGTATTGTAAGTATTATTTTGACAAGTGTAAATTTAGGGGTTAGGGTTTGGGACAAACTCCTCCAAATAGAAAGTACCCTATAAGTGATGATTTTGTATATATTTAGCTTATTATCATTTCTATTAATGCCTTGGATTTAAATGGATCATGATATAAAAATGCAACATGAAAATTTTACCTGCCACGGCATGAAGTCTGTATCTCCGGAACAGGCAGAATCACTGCATTTTAGAAGTTTCTTGATGGCATTAGCTATGGCATATACTGCCACTCTCTGACTGTAGGTCTCCGTCAGGTCTACTGCATGGAGCAGGTAGTCATCGTTTGCCGCCTGGGGGTCTGGCACACTACAGGCAAAAGGGGACGTGTGTTCCGACTGCTGACCATGGTTGCAGTTGAACCTCATTTGTTTGTACTCCCTGATGAAATCATTTCTCTCTCCTTGTTTTACTGTCAGATTCTTGAGGTAGTCTTCAAAACCTGGAATCGTCCCTGTGAGGAAGGTAAAGCCAAAGATTTCTCCAACCTTGTTTATGTCCTTCATCTTCATTACAAAGCGTGTCGTAGACCAGGCATCACTGGCGATCCAGATTCGAGTAGTATTTGTCTTAATCAGCTCTTGAAAGAGCATCTCTACCTGCTCTGCTCTCAAAATGAGCAGCACAACTTGGGCACTGGAGTTTCGGATAATATCAGCCACTAGCTTGATGCGTTGTTGCGTATCTTTGAAACCTAGGTAGTTTGGTAGCACCTCCTGGAAAGCTACACACACATGTTCTTCTTTTGAATCCAGCAGAAAATTCTCTAAGGCAGGCTTTCCATAGTCATCATCAAGGGACACCACTCCAACCCAGTCCCAGTTAAAGTGCCGCATGAGCTTTGCCAGGGCCTTTGTCTGGTACACATCACTTGGAATGACACGGACAAAGGATGCACAACGTGATTTGTCACTTAATGTTGGTGAAGAAGAGGTGCAGCTAATCTGTTAACAAAAAGATACAATGATTATTGGTAAATTTGAAATGACACTGGAATAAAATAGTAAGATATGCCCAGACTAGCGACAGTCAAACAAGGGAATGCATTTATGTTTTGCTGTATCCACAAACAGCCAAAAAGATTTTGTTCTGCTTAATTTCATGAAAAATCCACAGTAGAATTCAAAGTAGTTTTGAATTCTCTTAAGCTCTCAGTATTAGTCTGATGTATAAAGTAACCCTAAAATTGCAAATTTAATTTGTTCAGTAGAGTTTAAAATGTTGTACAAATTATTGTCTATTTTCTGACAATATGTATCTATTATCTATAATCTGTAACAAGTTTAAAACTATAAAAATTGACTTAACATTAACATTAATAAAGAAAATTGAACATTACCATACCATTAACATAAGCAATGCATAGCCTATTCCAAAATATGAACTAGGACGTCTTATAGTCAAATCATGTATGTGTTCAGAAACCATATTTTATTTATTTTTGTTTATAAGTCCTTAACACTTTAATTTAAATTCTAACTCTGAATATTATTGGATCTTGTTAACAAACAAAACAGTGTTGTAATGTAATGTATGTTTAGCTAATTACTTCTTGTAAGATATCTTACTTATCATCAATTTTGTTTTTTAAACATATTGATATTATGCTCATGCATACATGCCTTCTTCTTATATTTATGATTACAAAGGCAAACAACATCATTTATTGTTACTGACAAAAAATCTTGTATCTCCACATTTTTCAGTTCTCATTTTTTTCCAACATTTGAAAATGCCATATGTCTTTTACATTGTGTGAACATTTTAGGATGAATGCACAAACAGAAAAGATCCAAAAACACTTGGGGAAAAATATAAGAAAATTGTACTATTTCCTAGAAAAGACAGAAGTAGACCTAGTTAACACAGTACATCAGCTTTTCAGAAGTAGCACTGAGAAATGTCTTTCTGATTGTGGTTTTGATCTAAAAACAGTGTCATGGGGGAAAAAAAAGTTTAGTTTTATCAACACAGCCATTCTGCACAGAGGGCTGAGGTATTTAAGACAGTGGTTTGACACTTTGTTGCTACAAAAATTGCTCAGAAAGAAGTCTATAGAAAAATACTTTCCTATTCATTGTTATAGTATTTCAGTTTAAACAGTTTTGTTCTGTTATTTTATAGTTTTATTTTATAGTTTTGTTATTTTATAGTTTTATTGTAGTTCCTGGCAATGATTCAGATGAGGGTGAAATTCACCAGGTGAAAAAGGAAAAGAGAACCACCAAACTGGAAACATAACATTCAAAAAAGAAGGCAAATGTAGGAGAAGTCATATAGTGACAAGCAGAAGATGTGGGTGAGGTGACCTGAGAGCTACACATCATGGAAGATGTGTGTCAGAGATATGTAGAAAGTGTTCAAAACATATTTGCAATACTATCAGTGAAGAATTCAGGCAGAGAATTTTCCAGCACTTCTGGCTGAAGATGAACTGGAAAGAGAGAAGGCAAGGAAGAGGTCAGTGAAAAAGGATTTGAGAAGGTTTGCAACACTCCTACCACCTTAATATAGATGTTGAGAGGAGAAGGGTGTGTAAATTTTTTTTGTCAACTCTGGGTCTAGAGGAATGATCAGTTGCAAGAAACTGAACTTGAGATATGCAGCAGCAAAACAGCTGTCAGGAATGATGCATGAGAATCTCTTTGGGTCTTTCTTAGAGATTTGCTAAAGGTGCCTTCTCATTATTGCTGGTTTACATGCTCCAAGTTATACTTAGAACCTATGTTCCAGTCCAAGTCTGTGTTACACAGTGTTTCCCAGCGTCACTGTGAGAAAGAACTCCAGACAACTCTGTTGTCCGATCTCAGTTTGGCCTTATACCACCCAAAGAAAGACCAGTGTGACACCTGTGGCTCATACAAAGCCCGTCATGTGGAAAAGGAAGGGGGCCAAAACCACTGGCTGAAAAAAGATGAGGTGAAAGCAGCTGACAAAAAAGGCCAGAGCAGACTCCACCTGCTTAGGAGACTGAGGTCATTTGGAGTGCAAGGGGCACTCCTGAGGACCTTTTTTTCGACACCACGGTAGCATCAGCCATCTTTTATGGAGTTGCCTGCTGGGGCAGCAGCATCTCAACTGTGGACAGGAAGAGACTTGACAGACTCATTAAGAAGGCCAGCTCTGTCCTGGAAGCCCCCTAGACCCAGTGCAGGTGGTGGGAGACAGGAGGATGTTATCCAGACTATCATCTATGCTGGAGAACAGCTCCCACCCCATGCATGAGACTCTGGCAGCACTGGGCAGCTCCTTCAGTCACAGGCTGCTTCACTCCAAGTGTGTAAAGGAGCACTATCACAGGTCTTTCCTTCCTGCAGCTGTTAGACTGTACAGCCAGCACTGCTCCCAGTAGAACCCTCCTCCACCCCCCCATTAGACCTCACACACCTACAGCACATTAACTGTGAATTTATCACCGTTTCCTGTGTGTAATATAATCAGTACTCCATGTGCAATAGGTCTAAAATATCTCTATAGTGTAAAGATTTTCTTGCTTTTCTTTTTTTAATGTTTATATTGTTAATTCATCACTGTTACCATGTGTAATATAATCAATACTCCATGTGCAGTTTGGGTAAAATATCCTTACAGCTGTTACATGTTTTGTTTTTTTTATTTATAATTGTTGATATTGTTCATTTTTGTGAATTTACGTGAAGGATAGTTTAAATTTTTTATTGTGTATTTTGTTTCTTTAGTATTTTATATATTGTTTATATAGTAACAAGAAACAAACTGTAAGATTTAATTCTCTTCTTGTTACTTCGTTTCTTTTGCTGTAGCACTGTGAATTTCCCCATTGTGGGACTAATAAAAGATTATCTTATCTTGTGGAGTGTGATGCTGTCCACCGTGTCATAGAGAGACGACTGAAAGATCAAGACATTTATGTCCCAGCATTCACATGAAGAAAGCACCCACAAAGACAACTCCACAAAACACCTGGACTATGTCTTCTTCTCTGAGCCGACAGTATGTGACTGAAGTGCCCTTGAGCGAGGCACCTAACCCGCAACTGCTCCCCGGGCTCCATGAATAGGGCTGCCCACCGCTCCAGGCAAGTGTGCTCACTGCCCCCTAATGTGTGTGTTCACTAGTGTGTATGTGGAGTTTCACGGCACAGATGGGTCAAAATGCGGAGGTGAAATTTCCTCGTTGTGGGACTAATAAGGGTCACTTAATCTTAATCTTAATGTTAAGGTAAGCTAAGGACTATCAAATACAACATCAATGGTACCATGAAGTACAAGCTTCAGCACTTGGATGACTGGAGTCCTTTCCCCAGGAGAGAGCTGAGGAGCTTGAGGAATGGTGTATCAGTGATCGATCGGCTACCCTCCACCTCACTCACAATTAAGGAGCAGAAATTCAGACACTTACAGCAACTAAAGGAACTTTTCCCAAAAGACTTTTATAGATTTTATGATTCACTGAAACACTAAATTTGAGCACACATAAATATTTTAATATTGCCTTTGAATATACTAAGTCTACTAAGCTTTTCTCATTGGATGTTGTATGATAATGTTTTTTACTTTTTCACCATTTCACTTTACTATATCTACTCAGTTTTCAAATGTTTTATGCAAAATACATGTGCCATGTTGTATTTAATACCCTTTTACTCCTTATTGTTCCCGCATATATATATATATATATATATATATATATATGCATTTGTTAGCTCCTCTTGCAATAACTAGTTGTCCATCCATGTATGCAAATTTTACATACCAAATAAAAAAGATTGAGCAAAATGCAAATATAGCAAGTCTAGACAGATCAGGTATGTCTGTTTTTGTCCCACAGAAGCAGGACACAGCAGGGACCAGAGGACTAATAAAGAAATTAAAATATACCTTTATCATATTACAATAGAAACTCATAATATTGATAGTAGACAGTAAACAGCAGCGTAAACAATCGCGCCTGGACAGTGGCAGTCTGACACTGATTAATGGATCATTTATGACCCATAATGTTTGCTCATGCTTTTTGACTCTGCGCTCTTATAATTAAAAAAGAAAAAAAAATCAAACAAAGGTAAAGTTAAACAAAATTTGCCCAACATTCTGGGTTTTTCTATAGACTTGTGTTTTAACATGTCTTTCAATCTTTTGTTCAGATTTGGTGGAAATGCAGTCTTATTTACATGTTTTGGTGACAATTCTGTTGTTTGCTGGAGGTTAATTCAACAGTTTGAGAGGAAACCTACCTAAAGGTGCACAAAAAAGCAACCCGAGTGCCAATAGTGCCCTTTTGTGGACAATCTTCAGTCTGCAACTTGAATGACAATCAGAATGCTCTGGTTTTTCTTGCCATCTAATCACTGTTGATTTACTGAGAAGGTGCATTTTAAGTATATTTTTAAGAGTGTAATCATACCCCTTTAACCCCACACTCCCATGTAGTATTACGTTACCTGAGGAATCATGTAGAGACTGAGGAACTTGGCCACAGGAATAGACAATTCAGAGTATCTTTCTCCAAAGAACACCTTCACAGATGAAGTAAAGTTGGAGTTGTCAGCAAGGACGGGAAACGAATCGTTAATAGAAAGCATGTGCTCCACACACTGTAAGGCTTTGGTGCCGTATGCACACGGATCACACATCTGATATCCAAGCCGAATCCCAGGAAGAAATCCAGAGTCATTGATCGTTTCGATTGTGTGAATTACAGCTAAAGACTCTACAAACGGAATTAGATCGAAGCTGGAAAGGAGAAAGAAGGAGAGCAGGTTACAGTGTTGAAAAGTGTGAAGCAGTATTTGACACTAACATTTCTAAAAGGACACTAATCCAGTATACTCACTCTGTGCAGGTATATTTATCTGGACGAATCCGTGTTTCAAGGTCATTTACTGTGGAATGAACTGACCCCAGAATGCCAAGGATAATGTCTCCATGGGCATACGCCCCACATAGGGACGCGGTATCATCACAGCGGACCCTCAACCCCAACATTACAGCCACCCACACCACACAAAGACACAGATGGGACAAACAGGGAGCCATGCTGTGAATATGTGGTGGATCATGTGTCTCAGTGAAGAACTAAAAGCCTCACTGAAAAAAAGACTAGAGGAAGAATGTGGGAGAACAGGAAACACAGCAAAAATCAGAAACCAAGCAAGACATGAGTAGATGCAGCTGCTGTCAGAAGAAAACGTGGTATCTCCATTTTTGTCATTTTTCAGTTTTTGACATAGTTTGAATGGACCAAAAGAAATGGCCCAAAATTACTTGAATTTGACTTACATTAAAAGTAAAGTAGGTTTTTTTCCCTTTCCTGTAAAGTTTTTACATTTTTTTCATTTTGGAGATACAAACACAACAGCGATATGTTATAATGAGTGTTGTTTAAGGTCTTACACATATTAACCATTGCCTGTGAAACCAAAATGTTTGCATTTGGGCATCATATTATTATTATTATTATTATTTATGGTTGGTTTTTAGCAAAGCAAAAGTAAAAGCATTTCACCAAGTTAGAAATGCAGGTCCAAGCTACAACAGGCTTCATTACACAACTCTACTTTTTGCCTGTCCAGAAAAAGGACTTTTATGAAGTAACCTGAGATTCACATGAATTATTAACTTATAAACTATAAATTAATATATGATTGAAGATCAAAGACAATCTGTAGCAATTTGAAAATGTGTAGTATGTAAATATTTGTCAGCCAAATACAAGAAAAAAAAAAAAAATCAAAACAAACATTTTGATTAGTTTTATTCAAGTCATACAACTACTCTACATAACCTCATAAACCAAAGTAAAATAATATGCTTTGAATCATATTTTTACAGTGTAGAGGATGTAAAATATTTGTTGATTGCAATTGAAACTTAAAGTGCATTTAAAAATGTATTTTTTAAAAAAAGATGAATTTAAAATGGAATGATTACTTTTTTTACTCTCACAAACTGTCACTACAAGCATCAAGAAGGAATGTTTGTTTTTTATCTGGAAAGGTCAGATATGCTCTTGTAAGGTAAGAGAATCCTGTCACCATGCCAAACTCTGTCACGGCTACTGGTACATTTTTTTTTCCAAGTGTACATGTCAAATCTTCTTGAAAATATCAGACTGATTTTAGTTTAAGTCTATTCTTAGTTTAGCTTAAGTGTATTCTTAGCTCTCAACCCACACATATAAAACATTGTGAAGGATAGAACAGGACACAAGTTTGCTAATTAAAGACTGTGCGATTAAGATTAAAGATTAAAGACTACTCCACTTGATTTTTTTAAGCTGTCAAATTGGATGTAACTAAATCCAAGAGCCAGTACATCAAGACTCAAAAGGGTTTGGTGTGGCTAGACAAAAGGAGCTTGAGAGCGAAGGGAGACCCAAGAGAAAATCTCAAGGGCCTTTATCATATTACCGGCCAGCCTTACACAAGCACTTTGAAAAGAGAACTCAAGACTGAGGACCACGTTGTGGAAGAGCTCCTCTTCTCTACATAAGGACCAGCACAAGTGCTGCCAGTTACTCTTGATTACTGAAGAGGAGCTCTGTGCTACTTTGTGTTACAATTTAAATAATCAAATGAAGAGGGGGAAAAATAAAATGAAACCATCTAGACTGGATACTGATCTGTCACTATCCTGGTCCCAGTTTCCCAAAAGCTTCATAGTCTTATTAGGATCATCTTGACAGGTAGAGGGTGACCTTTGTACAAAGATGCTTTTGGAAAACCCAGCCGTGATCAGCTACAGCTAAAACATAACAGTGACCTACCTTATTCTCACATTTAAAGACAATGCCAGTACTAACATTAGGCCTATCAGAGTCATGATGACCATGTGCTTACCAAGTTGGTAAGGCAGAGGTGTTATTGGCTTCAAATGCACCAGGATATCAAGGATGGGTACCAGATTTGTGAGCACTGCACTCCGGCCACGGGGGCTCATTTACAGGCTTGGGCGCCTATGGGGCATCTTGGCTTCAAAGCCACACCAGATTCTGGCCATTGATTTTATATTGCTGGAGCATCTCTGGTTGGCTAAGATATGTCCTAATTATGACAGGTGTCTTTTCACACAGTTCACACAGATGGTGGCGACCAGAGATCACCAAGCCTCCACTGTGGCTAATGTCCTGGTAAGGGAATGGTTTTATAAATTTAGGTGCCTAAACGTCTGCCTTGCGATCAAGGCTGGAGCTTTGACAGTGCACTGATTCAGCAGCTGTGTGACTTGTATTCAGAAGACCCATACAACATCCTACTACCCTCAAGGTAATGGTCAATGTTAGAGATTCAGTTGCATTTTTCATAACGTGCTCTATTTCCCTGGAGTAAAAGTGGGAGTGGCTCAAGGATTTGCCCTAAGTTACTTCTTCATAGAATACATTCGTTCAGAGTACAAGTGAGTCACCTCATTTTCTAACGTACCTATTGATTTATTTTAGATAAAGATTTATTTTAGATTTGATTTATCAACATCTCCAGACTGCTTTTGAAAGAGTGCGAGAGAGATTGAAGGTGGCAGACAGTTGGCTTAAGGTATGGTGGTGAGGTATGACGAGAAAGCTACCATGGCAGCCTTGGAGGGTCAGCTTGTTTATTTACAGGACTATGGTTTAAGAGGATGAAACAATTCAGGCTATTTCTATTATTTATAGGGTGGTGAAGACACCCTGTAAGGGGAGATGTGTTTAATCCATTTCACCTCTCACTGATCTTCAGCATGTTAAATACGTTCATATGACTTTACTTAAGCTTGTTCCTCCAAATCTTTGTCCTGACACCCCTTCTCAGAGTGGTGCTAAACAAAAAGAGAGAGCCAGCCTTGAAGAGAAGTAGATGAAAAGATAGATGAGGGTTTATGGATGGTTGTTCAACCTATCAGAGTGACCCATCTTCACTGGTAGCCCAGTGTCATCTTCAAGGAGAGCAAGTCCCACCTCCTAATGCTACCCCTTCTGTCTGTGCCCTCTAAGGTTATGTCCCCAGGTGTCACTTCCAGTGATACTGATCATAATCATGGAGTGGCCCAAACTACTGCTGAACGTCATTCCATTCTTCATGTATAATTACCACAGCCCCTCACTATTCATTTATATGCTAGTTCGTATAAATATGTTTTTAAACTTGATTTAAAAACAGTGATTGAAGGTGCTTGGCGAATAGTGAGAGGTGGCATGTTCTATAGTCTCAGAGCATAGACTGCAAATACATGATCACTTTTAAGCTTCAAACGAGCCCTAGGAACAGCCAGCATGTTCTACAAGGATGCTCTCAAAGCTCGCTGAGTGGTAAAGGGAGTGAGCATACTGCCAACATACAAGAGGGCCTGACCATTAAGTGCTTTAAAAACAAATAAAAGCATTTGAACTGTATCCTGAACAGGACAGGTAGCCAATGACTGGAGTGTCTCTTTTCTTGGTACAAGTCAGTAACCTTGCTGCTGCATTGTGCACTAACTGTAAGCATTGCAATAGAGCCTGGTTAATCCCAATATACAAATTACAGTTAACATATACAAATACATTGACAGCCATCCACCTCTTAATGTCCTCAAGACAACTGCTGAGAGACATTAGAGCCATTGTCAATAGGTCTAATGGGAAGGTAAATCTGTATATTGTCAGCATAATGATGAAAGCTGACATTGTGCCTCCTAATAATTTCACCTAATGCCAGCATGTATAGTGAAAAAAGGAATGGCGCTAATATGGACCCTTGTGGAACGCCACAAGAGAATGTGTAAAAATGGCAACTTGAAAATTGGCCTATATATACTAACCTCTGTAGCATCAAGGTTATGTTTTTTAAGCAGAGGTGTAACCACTGCATGTTTAAGACTTTAAGGCTGGAACGGCACCAGTGGTTTAAAGAGGTATTAATGATGTTTAGGACAGTAGTGTAGTATAGTGTGAAGTGAGTGGAGTAGAGTAGTGAACTATGCTGCCTGTTGCTGCATAAAAGAAACAAACATACACACACACACACATTCTCTAAGTTGCTCATCCTCCTGGGTCGTGGGGGACAGCTGGAGCCTATCCCAGTGGTCAATCGGAAGGCAGGAAACACCCTGGACAGGAAACAAACAGTCTGGACAGAAACAAACAGTTAAACAGAAGTTAGGACACCTCTGGGGTTATCTTAAAGTTGGGACAGAATTTGGGAAATTTAGTCTAGTTACATAACTGGGGTTTAAGGCAAGACTAAAAGTCTTAGATTTTAATAGTCTTTATGCCCATACCTAACACTTAGATAGTTAATGGGCTTCATGCAAGGCTTGAATTGTAAGGCAGTATTGTTTAATTAAACACATTTAAGTGAATGGCATTCAGTTTGACATGGGCTAATAAAAAATAATACATACATAAATAAATAGAAATAGAATTTTTTTGTTTGTTTGTTACATTTTAACAGACACAAAGCTACTCCAATAGACTACATGTAACAGAAAAATAGCAGATCCAGTGATGTGCACAGACTTGGACAGAGTAGAAACAAAAGTATAGGCTGTGATATTTTTTGGTAAACAGCGAGAGGCTTATGTAAAATATGTCATGTAATTGATTGTCGTGTAAAAAATAAAAAAGTGGGTCTTTAAGAGTTCTTTTAACAAAAACATTGGTCAAATTAGAAGCATTTCATCCCAAAGAACCATTTGAATTCTTTAAATAGGACTGTTTTATGATGGAAAAACGTTTGTATGTGATAGAAGGTAGAGCAGGAATACTTGGGAGCTAGGTGGTACAGTAGCTGTCAGTGGTCCTTTGCTTCCATATTGGAGGCCGTAGCATTGTGCCATATGCTGGCCTTCTGACAAATGTCTACCCAACCATGTCCTGCCAAGACTTGAGCAATTAGACATTTTTTCCACGATAGCCATTTTTCTTCTTTGCTCCTCTTTTGCCTCCTTTAGTTTGTTTGCTGATGATACACGTGACGCATATGATTCATTCATGTGACGTTACTGAGTAGGATGTGCGCATGCGGGTCATTTCAGTTCGTTCACATTAATGACAGATTTGAA